CCGTGCCCCCAGACTCACGGTGCGTGGGGAGCGGATGAAGATCTTGGTGTGGCCAAACGCCAGCTCCTCGGGGGGGAACGCCAGCTCCTGCAGCAGAGCCTCAGCCCCTGCCCTGCAGCGGAGGGACACGAAGGCTGCTCAGCATCAGGGATGATGGGGTCACCGTCCGCTGCCTCATCCATCCCCGTTACCTGTCAGTACCGGCCCAGCGGGGCCAGGTCCGGGAGCCGAGCATCTTGTAGCGCTCCAGGAAGGAGCCGTAGAGCTGCCGGAAGGCGTAGCCCGCGCGCCGCACCAGCACGTTCTCCATCAGCCCCAGGTACCGGACCTGCGCCAGCACCAGCTCCGGCGTGAAGAGCATGGCTGCTTTGGTCTCGTTGGGTTTGATGCACCTGAGGAGGGCAGTGATGGGAGGAGGCTGTTCCTGAGGGTGCCGGAGCCTTGGTTCTCTCCCCATGGGGCTGGTACCTGATGTAGTTGGGGTTCTTGGAGTAGAGATTCTTCATGAGCATCGCCACCGAGGCCTTGAACTGGGAGCCTGCGGTGGGGGGCAGCTTAAGGGAGGCTTTCTGGGGGTCCCCCTCGGGGAAGAGGGAGCGCAGCAGCGGGTGCCGGGCAGCCCACATGGCCTGCGAGAGGTCGCGGAAGAGGAGGTCGTTGTTCTTCTCTATGAAGCCCGTCACGTTGTAGGTGACCTACAGGAGGGAGCGGGCTCAGCGCTCAGCAGTGACGGATCCGTGTCTCTGCGCCCCTTCCCAGCTCACCCCACGGACCTTGCCGGCGTAGTGATGGATGCGGAAGCACTGCGGCGGCAGGCTGGTGTCCATGATGCGCCGGGCGTTCTGGGTCTCCTTGCTCTCGTAGTGCTTGTGGGTGGCGAAGAGGAGGTTCAGCTTGGTGAGGAAGGTGTCCTCGTTGACCACGCCGGGCCGCAGGCACTCCTCATCCAGCATGGCCAGGATCCCACTCTTGCTCTGCACCAGGATGGATGGTGTCACCCAAAACAATGTGATGGGGGGGAGCCAGCACCCTGACCCAGGACCCCAGCACTGGGTGCCGCTCACGTTCTCAATCAGGTTGCAGATGATGCTGTTGTCAAAGAACTCCACCGGGGTCCACTGGATACCCTGGGAGCAGACAGCGACGCGCATGGACCCCCGGAGCCTGCCCCACGGATACCCCCCCAGCTGATGTGGGGCAGGAACCGGATGTCCGGCCACGGGGACAGGGATCCCGAATCCCTCCCTGCCTTCCTGCTATTGAATGTGCTCCCGGCAGGGAGCGGGGCGAGGGAGCGACGTGCTCCGGAGACGGCTCCGGCACTTCCCCATCGCTGGGGGGCCGAGGCTCTATGGGGCCATCCTCTGGCACCCATAGACAGAGGGGCCGCATCCTGCCCGGCCAGCGCCCGCTGGGGGTACCTCTCGGACGTATTCCTCCTGCTCCTCCTTCAGGGTCAGCAGGATGAAGATCTGCTGCAGCTTCTCATTGCAGTAGTTGATGATGAACTGCTCAAAGCCATTATCCTATGGAAGAGGGGTCCTGCTCGGTCATGCCCATACCCACGGCGCTGCAGAATGGGGCCGGGGGGACCCTGCCCTCACCTGGAAGATCTCAAAGCCGTAGATATCCAGGACGCCCATCACCTTCCTCTGCTTGCCTGGCTTCACCTGGGGACACAGCGGGGTGCTGAGGGGGTCCAGGGCCCCATCCGGGATGGGGGAGCCGGTGCCTGTCCCCCCGGGCACTCACCTGGATGCTGGTGTTGATGCGGGTCACCAGCCAGTCGAAGAGGCGGCTGTAGATGTTCTTGGCCAGCGCATCCCGGCCGTAGTACCCCTATGGAGAGGGCGAAGCGGGGGTTCCTGTGGCCGCTCCTGGGGTCGCTGGGTGCTGCAATGGGGGGCACTCACCTGGGGCACGCTGAGCGTGGTGAGCACCGTCTCATCCCGCGCCTTCACCGTGCGGGAGCACAGCGCCTGCTCCAGCGTGCCGGGGTCCAGCCCGATGAGCTCGCCGATCTCCTGCAGCTCTGTGTGTGTGCGGGATGCAGCGGTGACAGGGCTGCGGAGCAGGGGGACGAGAGCGGGTCCCCGCAGCGGTCCCATCGGCACCCCTACCCTGCGGCTCAGCGATGCTGCACGCCTCCATCCCGCTGGCCTGGTAGCTGCCGCTCAGCTCCACGTTACCCAGCTTGAGGACCACGGCTGTCACCTGCAGCAGCTCCGTCACCTCGGTGGGCGAGAAGCCGATGACGCTCATGGCATCCTGGGGACAGACACGGGCAGCTCAGCAGGATGGGGTGGATGTTTTGGGGGGGGGGGGGTCCCAGCTTCCTGGTCCCAGTGGTACCTGCACGGCGCGGAAGTTGGCTGCATCATCCACACCGGGCAGGCTGCAGCTCTCCCCCCTCAGGTAGGGGTAGTGCTGGCAGTCCTGGCGGAGCCTCAGCTGCTCTGGAGCGGGGACAAGGAGGCGGCTCAGCCACAGCCTGCCATGGAATCCCCCTTGGACCCTGTGCTACGGGGCTGGGACCTACGGAGCAGCTGCGCCGAGCCCCCGGCCAGGAGCTGGTAGAAGATGTGGAAGTTCCTCTCGCCCTTGACGTGCCGCACGATGCGGGATTTCTCCAGCAGGTCTGTGGGCAGGGGCAGTGCTCATGGGCTGTGCGATGCGTGGGGACCCCCCCCAAGGATGGGCGGTCGCTACTCACAGTTACTGATGACCCCTCCCAGGGGTTCCCCCTTGAAGTCGAACTCCACATCCATGTATTTGCCCTGAGGGATGGGGCTGGGGTCAGGGTAGGGGGATCCCCTCCCCACATCCACATCCCCATCCCCTGCTGTGCCTCCAGCCCCACCAGGACACAGCTCCAGCATCCCGGGCACTCACAAAGCGGGACGAGTTGTCGTTACGGATGGTCTTGGCGTTCCCAAAGGCTGCAGGGTGGGGACACCTGGGGTTACAGCGTGGTCCAGGGGGGCTGGGATGGATGCAGGGTGTGGGATGCAGGATGCTTACCCTCCAGCACGGGGTTGGACTGCAGGAGCTGCTCCTTCACCTTGTCCACCTCCTCCCCTTTGCTGCACACCGCTGCCACGTAGGACATCACCAGCTTGCTGGCCTCTGCGAGTGAGGGGCCGTGGGTAGCGGGGCCGTGCCCACCCATCCCGCAGCACCCCTATGAGCACCCAGCGGCACCCCTGCCCCTACCCGTCTTGCCAGCCCCGCTCTCCCCAGTGATGAGGATGCACTGGTCCCTGTCGCGGTCCCGCAGCGAGCGATAGGCATCATCGGCAATGGCATAGCTGCGGGTGAGGAGGGTTAGAAGGGGCTCGGAGCAGGGAACACCAAAAGCCCCCGGTTGTATGGCTGTGAGCCCGCTCCCTCGGACCCCAAAGCCTCGGGCAGGGTCTATGGAGACCGAGGGGCTCCCCCGCGCTCACATGTGGGGCTTCACAGCGAAGAAGTTGCAGTTGTGGTACTCCTGCACCTTCTCGGGGGTGTAGATGGGCAGGGGCTGGTAGGGGTTCACCGAGATCACCACGTTCCCGATGTACGTCTGCAGGGAAGCAGGATGCTGCGTGCGGCTGCGGGGGGGGGACCCAGACCCCGGCGCCGGGCTCTGCTCCCCCCAACCCCGCCCGCCCCGCAGCCCCATCCCGCAGCCCCATCCCGGTGCCCACGTAGATGTCTCCTCGTCGGAAGCGCTCCCGCAGGGTGCGGAGCAGCGAATCCTCGCTGAGCGGGTCCAGCAGCACCAGGTCCCCGATCGCTGCCGCGTCCAGCAGCGGCTCCGTGGCTTCCATGGCAGGGCGGCTCCGGGGATGCTGCGGAGAGGGGCGGGCGCTGCAGCCACAGACACGCAGCCCCGTCCCCAAAACACCACCACCCCCCCGGTCCTCAGCAGCCCCTGGTGCCCCCCACAACCTCGTCCCGCGGAGGGCACCGCAGCGCTCAGGACCCCGGGATGGGGATGGGGAGCCGGGGGGAAGCAGAGCCCCGGGCAGGAAACGCGGACACCTGGAGCCTATTCTTGGGGCAGGGACAAATCCAGCCCCTGCTTCCTCCCTCCTTCCTGGCAGGGGGAAGCCGGGGCGGGAAGGGCCAGGCTCAGGGCCAGGGGAGCCCAGGACCCACCCGGAGAGCCCTGCAGCACCTAAAGGCACCCACGAGATCCTGCTCCCTCCCCACCCAGCCCTCACCTGGCTCTTTCGGAGCAGTCCCAGTCCCTGGGGTGACCTTCACCCCCCGTTTACAGCCCGGCTGCAGGCTGTAAACCCAACCCCGTAACCCCGGTGCCCGGGGAAAGTTCACGAGCGCGGAGGTGGGGAAGGATGGAGACGGCTCCATCCGGACAAGGCGGCCCCCACCGCTCCCTACGGCCTCCCCCGGCGCTGCTGCGAGCAGGACCCCAAAGTGAACACCCATGGGGGGGGGGAGAACCAGAGCAAGAGCCCCCCCCCCCAGCTCCAGGGCTCACCCCCACCTCCCCATAGCGCAGGATCCCCAACACCCCACGGCGCGGAGGTGCCCTGGGTTGGGTGCTGTGGGGACGGGGTGCCCCGGGGGGGTTTGGGTGCTCCGGGCTGGGTGGGAGCGGAGGGGTCCAGCACTCACCTCCCGGTTGCAGAGCAGCAGCTTGCGGAGTGGCTCCGGGCCAGCCCAGCGCCCGGTGCGGCCCCCGGAGGGGCGGGGGAGCGCAGGGGCCCTCCCTCAGGGCACGGTGCCCGTTTGCAAGCAGGGAAACTGAGGCCCAAGGAGCCGGGACGCTGCCCTCGGAGCGGCTGCGGCCCCGCGCTCCCCTCCCTGCCCCGGTGGCAATGGAACAAGCAGGGAAAACCCCTGGCAGCTCAGAGCAAACAAAGGGAGCTTCCTCCCCAGGGCTGCGGGAAGCAGGGAGAGTCCTGCCCGAGGGAACACAGCAGCCAGGGGCACGGTGTTCGCCCCTAGGGCACCGTCAGCATCCTTGGCCCGAGGGATGAGCAAAGGAGGCTCCGAAGCTACAAAATACATCTTTATTACAAATATAACCAGTCATCAGTCACGCAGAGGGATGCAGCAAGAGAGGGGGCTCACACCAGCAGGGGAAGGGAAGGAAAAGCAAGGCAAGGCCAGGGGAGCAGCAGCCATAGGGGCAGGGTTATTGCTTAGCAAGGGTCCTCACGGGGCTGCTGTGATTGCATAGATGGGGTGTCCCCTCCAACTCTGCCAGAGCCAGGAGGGAGCGCAGCAATGGGGATGGCCCCACGTAACACTGGGGAAAAGCTTCAATGGCACAGCGAGGTGCCAGCACCCCGCTGCAGCAAGGTGGGCAGGGGAGGAAGCACATCCACACTCCTCCTCAGCCCACGCAGCACGAGGCGAGGGGATGAAGGAGGCTGCTCCCGGCCTCTGCCAGGACACAGCAGCAGCGGGGAGCAGGGCACCGCGAAGGCTCCGGGGCTCCTCCCGAGCGCCGGAGCTGAGCCACGTCTCCATCGGGGGCTTTTTGGTATCCACAGGGAGTTTAAGACAAGGCAGAGGCAGATCCCAGCCAGAGCCCGCCGGTGTCTTTGGTAAGAGGAGGAGCAGGGCGCTCCCGGCAGCAGCCTGGCTGCGGGCACGGGCTGAGCACGCAGGGCCCGGTCCGAAGGTCCCCTCATGCACCTCAACCCTCCCAGGCACCCTCCCACGAGACAGCGCTTTCGCTCCGTCCCCACCCCATAGCCAGGGAGGCTCCCAGCAGAGCCCGGAGGCGCTGGCGTGGGAAGAGGGGCTCCAACGGGGCAGCAGCGGCAGTTCTGCCCCTCACCTCCGTGCAGGGCAGCCAACCTCAATGAGCATCCAGGTGGTTGGAGGGCAGGGAGTTACAGGTGTGATTCCTGGCAAGGGAGGCATCATCATCATCATCGTCTTCATCTTCATCCTCCTCCTCCTCATCGAAGAGCTGGTCCTCAAGGAAGATGCCACCGAGGCCGTACTCGCGCTCGTGGACAGAGACCTCGTCGCGGGTGACGTGACAGGCACCGCCCACAAAGTCAGCAAACCTGGTGAGGAGCCCCAGAGAAACACGTGATGCACACGCACCCTACATGCGTGTTGCACGTGTGTGGTGTACACAAGTGTTGCGCATGCGTGTGGCACGTGTGTTGCACGTACCTGTTGCACACGAGTGTTGTACATGTGTTGCACGTGTGTGGTGTACACACGTGTTGCGCACGTGTGTGGCACGTGTGTTGCACGGACATGTTGCACACGAGTGTTGTACATGTGTTGCACGTGTGTGGTGTACACACGTGTTGCGCACACGTGTGGCACGTGTGTTGCACGTACATGTGGCACACAAGTGTTGTACATGTGTTGCACGTGTGTGGTGTACACACGTGTTGCGCACACGTGTGGCACATGTGTTGCACGTACATGTGGCACACGAGTGTTGTACATGTGTTGCACGTGTGTGGTGTACACACGTGTTGCGCACGCGTGTGGCACGTGTGTTGCACGTACATGTTGCACACAAGTGTTGTACATGTGTTGCACGTGTGTGGCGTACACATGTGTTGCGCACGCGTGTGGCACGTGTGTTGCACGTACATGTTGCACACGAGTGTTGTACATGTGTTGCACGTGTGTGGTGTACACACGTGTTGCGCACGCGTGTGGCACGTGTGTTGCACGTACATGTTGCACACAAGTGTTGTACATGTGTTGCACGTGTGTGGTGTACACACGTGTTGCACACGCGTTGCACGTACATGTTGCACACAAGTGTTGCACACACGTGTTGTACATGTGTTGTACTCACGTGTTGTATATACATGTTGCATACATGCTATACATGTGTTGTACATGTGTTGCACATACGTGTTGTACACACGTGTTGTACATACGTGTTGTACTCATGTGTTGTATATACATGTTGCACACGTGTTGAATATACATGTTGTACACGTGTTTTACATGTATTGCACACACGTGTTGTACATACGTGTTATATATACACGTACATACATGTTGCACACATGTTGCACATACTTGTTGTACAAATACGTTGTACACCTGTTGTACATGTGATGCACATACGTGTTGTACTCACGTGTTGTTCATACATGTTGCACACGTATTGCACATAGATGTTGTACACGTGTTGTACATGTGTTGTACATACGTGTTGCACATTACATGTTGTACACACCTGTTGCACACAGGTGTTGCACATACATGTTGCACGTGTTGCACATACGTGTTGTACATACACATTGTACACCTGTTGTACATGCATGTTGCACATACATGTTGTACTCACGTGTTGCATATATGTGTTGTACATACACGTTGCACAGATGCGTTGCACACGTGTTGCACACACGTTGCACAGAGGTGTTGCACATACATGCTGCACACAGGTGTTGCACATACGTGTTGTACACACGTGACCAGTGCCATCCTGTGAGGCTCTGGCACACCAGGGCGAAGCATTCTGGCACCAGGACCTATTCCTAACCCCAACCCCAACCCCACCCCTAACCCCAACCCCATCCCCAACCCTAAACCCAACCCTAACCCTATCCCTAACCCCATCCCCATCCCCAACCCTAACCCCAACCCCAACCCTAACCCTATCCCTAACCCTAACCCCATCCCTAACCCCAACCCCAACCCTAACCCTAACCCCAACCCTAACCCCAACCCCAACCCTAACCCCAACCCTAACCCCATCCCTAACCCCAACCCCAACCCTAACTCTAACCCCAACCCTAACCCTAACCCCAACCCTAACCCTAACCCTAACCCTCCCCGTGGCACTCCCCCTGCTCCCAACCCACCGCAGAGCATCCCTGCCTCCATCTCCCCCTCTCTAAAGCCAGGATGGGAGCCCAGAGCGAGCCTGGGCTCTCAGCAGCACGCAGAGCCCCGGGCTGGCCACCCCCGTGCCGGGGCTCGTTACCTCTTGGGCGCCTGGATGCGGGACACCGCTGTCCAGGCAGAGAAATCCGGGCTCCTGCAGTAGCTCCGAAGCTCCTCGAGGGCCCTGCGGGTCTCCACCTCGCCCTGGAGCCGGAATTCCTCCTCCGTGAGCAGGCGTGGGGGGCTCGGCCCGAGCCAGGCTCCCTGCAGCCTCCTGCCAACACAGCAGCGGTCACTGCCCGCGCAGCGGGATCAGAGCCCCTGGGCCCCTCTGCCTCCTGCTCCAAGGCACCGACGCCAGGGCAAAGAGGGCACAACCCCCCCGACAGCCACCCCATAGGCTCCGTCCAGCAGCAAGAGCAGGGAACGCAGCCCTCACCTGTAGGCAGCGAAAGCCCAGTGCAATGGGTATTCCAGGTTCTTGGTGCAGAAGGCAAGGACCACCAGGGCCAAGGCGATGGGGTGGATCTGGATGCCTGAGTACATCAGTAAGAGGCCCAGGAGCTGCAGGGCCCAGGAGAGGAGGTTGATGCTGCGCTCATTCTCCAATGGGCCGTAGCGGTAGCAGATGCCGAAGCTCACGAAGCCCATGAGGAGCAGGTAACCTGCGGGGGAGCAGAGGCTGAAGGAGCCCCAGAGGAGCAGGGGCTGCAGCACCGAGCTGGCAGGAAACCAGCATCTTCTCATAGACTCATAGAATGGGACGGATGGGACCTTAAAGCTCATCCAGTTCCAACCCCCTGCCACGGGCAGGGGCACCTTCCACTGGAGCAGGGGGCTCCAACCTGGCCTTGAGCACTGCCAGGGATGGAGCATCCAAACCTTCTCCATTCAACCCATTCCAGTGCCCCAGCACCCTCACACTACGGAGCTTCTGCCTTGTGTCCAATCTGAACTCCCCCTGTTCCACTCTGAACCCATCACCCCCTGTCCCATCGCTCCAGTCCCTGATGCAGGTCCCTCTCCAGCATCCTTGTACCCCCCTCCAGGCACTGGAAGCTGCTCTGAGCTCCCCACGCAGCTTCTCTGCTCCAGCCCCAATGTTCTCAGCCTGGCTCCTATGGGAGCTGCTCCAGCCCCTGAGCATCCTCGTGGCCTCCGACAGCTCCATGTCCTTATGTTGAGGTCACCAGCACTGCTCACAGTGCTGCAGGGGGCTCTCACAGAGCACAGCAGAGGGGCAGGATCCTCTCCACGACCCACTGCTCAGGATGCAGCCCAGGCTATGGCTGGCAACCAGCCTGCTGCAGCTCCAGGGAGCCCAAAGGGCTCACACTCACCCAGCAGGTACTGCCAGTAGGTCCTGCAGATCTCCCGTAGGTTCTTGAAGATCAGCTGAAGCAGGTACAGGGAGAAGGACCAGCCCCCCACCAGCAGCAAGTAAACATGGTTCTTCTAGAGGAAGAGATGGGAGATTCAAGCTGCATACAACTTGTTCTTGTATAGCTGCATACAACTTGTTCTTGTATAGCTGCATACAACTTGTTCTTGTACAGCTGCATACAACTTGTTCTTGTATAGCTGCATACAACTTGTTCTTGTATAGCTGCATACAACTTGTTCTTGTACAGCTGCATACAACTTGTTCTTGTATAGCTGCATACAACTTGTTCTTGTACACAGGCTGTTCTTGCACAGTGTTCTTCAGACACCCACCTTGGGCAGGACCTTGGAGACCATGTAGATGAGGATGAGCAATGAAGCCAGCAAGCCAAAGCTGATCCCGGCTGAGTAGAAGAAGAGTTGGCTCCTGCAGGGATGACACGAGGTGTTTCACAGCTCAGGGGTGCACTGGTACCCAGCGCTCCTCGTGCCCAGGGCACTCACCTGCTCAGCACGTCCCCACAGAAGAACAGCAACAGGCCCAGGAAGAACACCAGGAACAGCTTCGGGTCGAAGCCTGGAAAGGGAATGAATCCGGATGGAGAACAGCCCAGCACGGAGTCCCTTGGGTGCAGTCCCAAGCACAGGGAAGCGGCAGCACCCCAGGCACCCCCTGACCAGAGCCCTACGTTTACACCCCATGGACGGACACAGGCTTCTCTCTGCAGCCCATTCTCCTCCCCAAGGCAGGACCAGCCCTCAGCACACGAGCCCCATGCCCTCAATGCCCCCTCCAGAGGCCGTACGTCGGAAGAGGACGACGCAGTACACGGTGCCGTCCTCCAGCAGCTCCACCTTGAGGCAGGTTTTCTTGCTGTAGAGGTCCACGTCGATGCTGGTGTCGTTCAGCTTCTCCTTTAGGAAGGACGAAAGGAAACTCCACACGCTCGACTCGCCCAGCTCCTCCTCGCTGCCCACTTGGGTGACCCGGATCATGCGGCTGCTGTTCACCCGGATCTGCACGGGGGAAAGGGCAGCGCACGGAGGGATGGCTCCCATGGGGACCCAAAGGACCTTCCTCCTCCTCCTCCTCCTCTCACCTGCATCCTGGTCCAGATCTCGTGCCACCGCGGCTTGTGCGTGTTGGTGTAGCAGAAGTGATGCGGGGACGACTCATGGTACACGCGGCCCTCCAGGAGCGAGATCACCGGCGGCGCCCCGGCATCTGCAAGGAGGGACGGAGCGGGCAGCGCATCCCCCGGTGTCAGCCCCGCTCCGGAGGTGGCGAACGAGAGGGCCCGTGCCCCGCTCCCGTTCCGGGCCGCAGCGCCCCCCGGTCCCCGCGTACCTGCGGTCCCCACCAGCAGCAGCAGCAGCAGCACCGGCACCAACGCGCCCCACGGCAGCCGCCGCCGTCCCGGAGCCGGTTTCATCCCTCCCGCCGCGGCCGCGCCGCCACCTTCCGCCGCTCCGCCTGGCAACGGCCACCGAGGGGCCAACGGCGGCCAATGAGAGAGGGCGCTGGCGTTGCGTCATGGCAGAGTGAAGGCTCAACTGGCCTATCGGAAGGCTGCTTGGTTTAGGAGCCTATCAGGAGCCAGGCACGCCCACCGCTGTGACCAACCAGACGGAGCGGTTCAAGCCCAGCCCATAGCAACCGCTAATCCCGCCTTAGAAACGGCTTAACAGACACACCCCTCAGCCAATCAGAGACAAGCACACCTGACTGACAACCCCGTTCTCCTATCAGAACGCGGTGTTTTTGTGCAGGGGGTCACGCGTGGGCGGGAGTTGGGGCGCGGAGCTCCGCCCCTCAGCCCCCGCACCGGGCAGCGTGCGGGGCCGGACCGGGTCCGGGGGCTCCGTGCCCCCGTTCACGGCCCACGGAGGGGAGGGGGCGAAGCGCGGGGCTCCCGCAGCCTCGAGCGGGTCCGGGCCCCGTGGGCAGCGGGCGCCCGTAGGCGGGGAGCGGGCTCGGGCGGGCTCCCCCCCCCCCCGGCCCGTGGGCGGCGGAGCCGGGAAGCGGCGGGGCCGTAGGCGGAGGATGTGCGTCAGCCGGGGGCAGAGCCGGGCCTGGGAGCGGCCCCGCCGAGCCGGACCCCCGGTTGCGGGGAGGGGGGAGCCGGTGTTGGGGTGTGGGGATGGGGCAGGACCCCAAGACCCCCAATCACGGCGGGGCACTGAGACCCGGCTGCCCCCCCCCCCCCCCCCCAGCCCCGGGTAGGGGCGGCTGGAGCCGTGCCCGGGCACGGTGTAAATAGCGCCGTGATCCCCCTCCGCAAGCCCGGAGGGGTGATGGGGGGGACGGACGGAGGGACGAGGCTTTACCGTGTCCCCCCCCGTCCAACCCCAGGAGTCACCTCCGTGGGGTGTTCACCCTGAAGCCTACCGAGGGCAGCCGGGGGGGGGGGGGGGGGGGCTGAGGCACGAAGGGGCCGCGCTCCCGGGGCATCACCGGGATAACGGCGCCGCGGTGCTGCAGGAGCCACCGATGCTGCGAGCGCAGCGGTCTTGTTCCCCCCCCCCCCCCCCTCACTCCAAGCACCGGGACCCCGTACGTGTCCCCTCCGCCTCGGTGATGGGAGGGGGGGGGCTCCTTCCCCGCCCGGTTCCCCGGTGCCACCGTGCGGGGCGCCGCTCCCCGGTCCCGTCCCCCCCCCCCCCCCCCCCTCGGGGCGGGAGGCGCAGCGGCTCCGGGAGCGGGGAGCCGGCGGGGGGGGGGGGGGGGGTCCCGGTTCCCCCGCCCGCTGCTGCCTCCCCCCGCCGCGGCCGCCCGCGCTGTGCTCGACGGGGGCGGCAGCCGCGGGATCCGCCCCCGGGGCCTCCCACGCCGCGGCGCTGCCGGGGCCGCTGCTATTTCACGGTACCGCCCGTGTGGGCGGCGCGCAGAAGCGGCGCGGAGCGAAGGAGCGAGCGCGCCCGGCCCGGCCGCGGGACCCCCCCCCCCCCGAGTCCCGGTACCCCCCGGCCCCGTCGGCCCCGGAGCTCCGGCTGCTTCCCCCCCCCCCCCCCCCCCCCCCCCCAGCGGCCGCTCACGGGGCGGGCGCAGCGGCGGGGAGGCGGCTCCAAGGCGGCGGTGAGCGACCGACGGGAGGGGAGGGGGGGGGGGGGAGCGACGGGAGGGGCCGGGGCACCGGTAGCGAGGGGCACGGAGCAGAACGGGAGCCGGGGAAGGGCGGCCCCTGCGGGAGCGGGACTCGCGCTGCGCCGTCGGGGATGGGGAGGGATGGGGCAGGCTCGGGAGCGTGTCCGACGCCACGGGGCGGGGGGGGGGGGGGGCTCTGGGAGGTGCGGGGCTGCTGCTGAAGGGATGGGGGGGCCCATTGGTGTCTTTGCTGTGTCTGAAGGAGCTGTGGACTCTGGGTCCCACGCAGCCTGGGTGCCCCGTGGGGTCTGGGGACCCTGGAGCACCGCCATCACCTCCTTGGTGGGGAGGGGGCTTCTCCTCCGTGCCCGTCGTGACCCGTGGGTCCCGCAGGCGCGATCGCCATGGCCCTGCCCCGCACGCTGGGGGAGCTGCAGCTGTACCGGGTGCTGCAACGCGCCAACCTGCTGGGCTACTACGAGACCTTCATCCAGCAAGGGGGGGACGACGTGCAGCAGCTCTGCGAGGCGGGCGAGGAGGAGTTCCTGGAGATCATGGCGCTGGTGGGCATGGCCACCAAACCCCTGCACGTCCGCCGCCTCCAGAAGGCCCTGCGTGAGTGGGCCTCCAACCCGGGGCTCTTCAGCCAGCCCGTCTCGGCCGTGCCCGTCAGCAGCATCCCCCTCTTCAAGCTGTCGGAGGCGGGCGGGCGCAAGGCGCTCAGCAATGGTCACGCCAGCCCCGGTGAGGCTGTGGGCAAAGGGGGCAGCAGCAGCGGGACCCCCCCAGCCCGGAGCCCCACAGAACCGGGGGAGAAGCTGTCACCATCAGCGGTGCCGCCGTGGCCGGGGAGGAGCACCCCTGAGTCGGAGGGCGGCGGGGACGAGGAACCGGGGGGTCCCCCTTCTCCCCGGGTGGGAGCAGCGGTGAGCAGGCGATGGGTAGCGAGGTGCTGGAGCCGGAGCTGGTGCGGACGGTGGCAGAGAGCGTGGAGCGGCTGCTGCAGAACTACCCCCGCGGCGGTGAGGCCGAGCTGCGGGCGCTCATGAAGCTCAACAAGAAGCTGGCCAAGGCCGTGGGTCACATCTTCCAGCTGGAGGACGGCGACCGGCACAAGGAGGAGGAGATCCGGCGGCACAGCGCGATCTACGGCCGCGGCGAGGCCCGGCGCCGCGAGGGCAAGCAGCTCACCCTGCACGAGGTGCGTGGCGCCCAGGTCCCGTTGTTGCTTGGGGCGGGAGATGGGGTCCGCTGGGTCAGACGCTGCCTCTGCCGTGGGGTGCTGGGGGGGTTCCCCCCCATCTCACGCACCCTCTGCGCCCCGCAGCTCATCATCAACGAGGCGGCCGCGCAGTTCTGCCTGCGGGACAACTCGCTGCTGCTGCGGCGCGTCGAGCTCTTCTCCCTCTCGCGCCAGGTAGCGCGGGAGAGCACCTACCTGTCCTCGCTCAAGGTGTCCAGGTGAGCCCGGACCTGGCAAACCCCCCATCACAAACCGGGGGGGGGGGGGCTTGGCTTTCACCCCCATCTGCGCCCTATAGCTCAGCGCTTCCCAATGGGGACAGGACCCGAGTTCCCCTTTCCCTCGTGTGGGTTGTTTTCTGCCTGGCCTCGGGCCCGCGGGAGGTGGGGTATGGCTGGAATGCCGGGGGGGGGGGGTGTGGGGTGTGTGGTGGTGGCGATGGGGATGATGCTGCTGGGGGTGCCCCCCTTCCCTCACCCCTCCCTTCCCGCTGTGCGCTGTGGCCGCGCTGCCCTTTCCCTTCGCTCGCCCCTTGTGCCACCCCCGGCTCCATCTGTGCCAAAGCCCCGATGCCGCGGCACCGCCCCGCCCGGCCCACGCTCCCCGCGGCGCCTGGCGCTGCCCGCAGGGCCCCCTGCGCGGTCACCCCACGCCTGACGCAGCCCCTTCGTGTGTGTGTGTCCCCCCTTCCCCTTCCCCTTCCCCGCGCAGGGCACACGCCGAGGACAGCGCAGCCACCGCGGCCAAGCGGCTCAAGCAGGAGGTGGGTGCGCACCCGCACTGATGCTGCCGCAGGGGGATGCGGGGTGCTGGTTGTGGGGCTTGGTGCTCGTGCGCAGCGCGGAGCTCCCCTTGCTCTCGGTGGGATGGGGCCCGTCCCCGCTGCCCTGCGCTCACTGCGCGCTCCCGGCAGGCGGGAGAGCAGAGCCGCCCCGAGCTGCTGCCGCTGCCGGTGGGGCCGGAGCCGCCGGGGGCCGTGTTCCGAGCCGGGCTGGAGGAGGACGCCGCCAGCCTCTCCGGGGAGAGCCTCGACGGCCACTTGCAGGGTGAGCTCAGGACCCATCCATGGGCAGCACCCGAACCCCCCCCCCTTCCCCCAGCCCCATCGGGTAACCCCAGATCTCGCCCTTCTCTCCGCAGTGGCGGGGGCCTGTCCCCGGCTGACGCCGCCGCCCGGTGCCGGCCCCGACGTGGCCCTGGGGCTGCCCCCGCACGGGCTCTGGAGCCGCCACATCCTGCAGCAGACGCTGATGGACGAGGGGCTGCGCTTGGCCCGCTTGGTCTCCCACGAGCGTGTGGGGCGGCTCAGCCCCTGCCTGCCCGGGAAGCCCCCGGCACCCGGTGAGCCCCCGTGGGGCAGCGTGGGGGGGGGGGGGGGGGGGGGGGCAGCCGCATTGTTCCCTATGGAAGCATCTCCCTGATGCCACCCCCCCCCCCAATCCCCGATTCTCCCCACAGAGTTCGAGGACGGGCTGGCAGAACGGGGTCCTCCGGCCCCCCCTGAGCCCCCCCGCGGCACCATCAAGGTGGAGCAGGAGAGCAGCCGGCAGTGAGGCCCCTGCAGCCCCCCCCCCACCATTAACGAAGCAATAACGTGCTGGGGGACGGGTACCGGCGGTGCTCCGGGTGCGGGGGGAGCCGGTGAGGGCCTGGCCACAGCCCCCCCCCCCCCCCCCCCCCCCAAGGACCCCATCCTCTCCCGCACCGATGCTCTGGTTACCTCAGCCGCGGCGGGATGCGCGCCCCCCCCCTCCTCACCCCACAGCAGCAATACCCTGGTCCCACCAGGCTCTGAGCCCCCCCCCCGGGGCTGGGGGGAGCCCTCGATGGACTCGAAGCTGCTGTACAGCCCCCCCTCGGCTCACCCCTTGTGCTGACCGTCCCGTGTGTGTGTCCCCCCCCGCCGCCCCAAGGCCCCTTTGGGTGGGCAACCCGTGCCCCCCCATCACCGCACCGGAGCCACGTGCAGCACCGTGTGCTCCCACATCAGCGCCACCCCCCCCCCCGCAGCACCCCCGCACCACCCGCCCCCCCCCTGCAGCACGCACCGCGTTGTGACCCCCCCCCTTCCCACTCCTCCCTCCCCACACACCCGTTGTGACCCCCCCCCCGCAGCACCGCATCACCCACGTGCAGTGTTTCACCTCTAAATCCCCCCCCGCACCCCCCCATTTACCTTCATGTACGGGGGTCACGCGTGTTGCGGGGGTCACGCGTGTGCACCCCCTCCCAGCACCATGTGGGTGGCATTTGATGGGCACGGGGATGGTGCTGCCCCCCCCCCCCCTTCCCCAGCCCCTTGGGGTCTCTCCTGTCCCCATAAGCGGTGCCCAGCCCCGGGGTCCCCATGTCCCTGTGTGTGCCCCCCCCCATAGGACTGTGGTGTCTTTCTCGAGCGTTCGCGGCGCCTCCTCCTTTGTAACGTGTACAGGAGATTATTTATTTTGTTATTTGGGAATAAAACTTTATTTTATGGCTTATGCCCTGCCCCCCCCCGCACCCCACTGCAACCCCATTCCCACCTTGGGGGGGGGGGGTGGGGGGCACCTCACAAACCCCAAAGCAAGCGCTATCTCTGGGCTCAGTGAGGGGGACCCAATGCATGTCCCCTGGGGGGTCCCTCGGTACAGGGTGGCAGCTCCAGACCCCAAAGTGCAGCAGATTCACCCGAGTGTTACCCAAAATCCGCCCCCCCTCCCCCAAAGCTGTATCAACCCGGTGATGCCTTGGAGGGGGGGGGGGGCACAGTCCAATGTCCCCTCCCCAGCATCCCCCTCACGTGTGCCCCGGGCGGATGCTGTCATCCCACCGGGAGTCCCCCAGGCCCCAGCCGGAGGCATTGGGGTACCCGCTGTGCTGGGGGGGGGGCGGGAAGGGGGGCCCCTCCGCTGCCATCTCCTGCAGGAACTGGTCCAGGTCGGAGCAGGGCGGCTGGTCCATGCTGGGCAGCCTGGGCAAGGGAGGCACAGGGTGATGCAGGGCATCCCCCCCCTCGGGCACCCCAGTGGTGTGTCCCCATCCCGTCCCTGTCCCGTCCCCCCCCGCCATGTGCTTACCACCTCTGGGTGCTCTGCAGTGAGTCCATCAGCGTCAATGGGGCCAGCTCGAGCATCTCCTCATCCCGGGGCTCCGGCGAGGGCCCCCCCGACAGCATCTGTGAGGCCTCCCCAGTCATGTACTGGTTGGGCATGAAGGGCCTGGGGGGGTGTGTGTGATGTAAGCCATGGGGTACCCCCCTTGGTGCTTCCCCAGAGGGGAAGTGCTTGGCTGGGTCAGCAGCAGGGTACTGGGAGCACTGCTCAGCCAGGAAAGGTCCCTCGGGGTGGGAGAAGGGGGGGGTTAAGCTGGGTACCCCCCCTGTACCCACGCTCTAGGTCTTACAATGGGTTCCTGAAGGTAAGGTCCTCGCAGCGAGGCAGCGGTGGGTCCATGGGCAGGGATGGAGAAAGCATCGGGGATGTGCTGTGGGGAGGAGGAGCACATGGGGCAACACTTCCCTCCATGGGGGCCATGGCGGGGGGGGGGGCTCAACCTGCCCCCAGTGCCTTCAACCAGCACCGCTCCTACCTGGGGAAGGAGGACCCGAGGTTGTTGGTGACCATCACGTTGATGCTGCTCTCAGCCGTGGGGTAGCCCGTGGGGATGGGTGGGGGGCAGAAGGGAGCGGGGGGGCTGCAATGTAGACACATGGCGGTGTTAGCACCCCCCCCTGCACCCCGCTGCGGCTGCCTCTGCCCCAGGCACTCACCACATGGGGCTGGGGACCGGCTGCAGGCCCTCGGGCTGCAGCATGGGCAGGTTGAACATCAGAGCCGGGGGGGGCCCGGGGAGGGTCCCTGCAGCGCTCTGGGGATGCTGGTCCCTGCAAGCGCATCGTTGCCATGGGCACAGGGCTGGTGTGGTCCAGCCTCTGGGCACGGGCAAGTCAATGCTCACAGATGTGCTCCAGTGCAGCCCATGGGGGGGGGGGGGGGGAGATTTGGGATCCCTATGGGAGGCTCAAGATCCCTATGGGGGATCTTGCACCAACACCCACCTTTCTCTTTCCACCGTCATCTTGATGGCGGTGGAGACATAACCCCGGCCGTCCTTGCCTGTCTGCTCTTCTGCTCCGGGAGGAGAAGCATCCATCACCCACCACCGCAGCCATGCCAGCCCTCCCTGCCCCTTGGCCCAAACCCCTCTGAGCTCCCCATAGCGCTGCCCATCTCAGCTCCCCTCCTGCTCACTGTTGTAGTGGCTCCCGAACGCCTGGTCCTTGGGGGTGTTGGGGTAGAGGTTGCGGAGCTGCCCCAGGTCCCGGATGCGGTCGCCAAGGGAGCGGATGGACAGGTCCTTGGCAGAGAAGGGTTGGATGTTCTCCACCTGGCTGGAGCCTGAAGGGAGACAGCACCAGGCTCCATCGTGAGCCCGCGACACCCGCTGTCCCAGGCACCGAGAGCAGCCCCCGTGCCCCCCACAGCGCACCGTCCTTGCCCCGGATAACGTAGGCAATGGTGACACCCCCGATCTCGGAGTCGCTGAAGCGCAGCAGGAAGGTCCCGTCGGGCTCGGTGCTCAGGAGCTTGCAGACGTACTGCTTGCTGATGAAGCCAATGATGAGCCTGCAGGGATGCGCAGATGGGAGCGGGGAGCCCCAGGGCTGGCCCTGGAGCTGCTCTGGAATCCCCCTTGGCCCCGGGTACCCACCTATCGGACCAGTAACTCTTGAGGCACCTCTTGGTGAGGTCCAGGACTCCATCAAACCACTGCCAGAAGGTGAATCCCCGCCCGGGCAGGATCTCCTGGGGTAGAAGGGAGGGTGTGAGGATGCCCAGGGCCACGCTGGTCCCTGCTCACCCAGACCAGCGCTCCCAGTGACCTTGTTGAACTGGGCCCAGGACACGCTGCGGCTCTGGAAGTCCTCGAGGCTGGCACTGTAGTCATTAAAGATCTTCTGTGCCAGGAAGAAGTAGTGCTCCTTGAGGAGCCCTTTGGTGGTCTGCACCTCGGCCATGAACTTCAGGTTCAGCGTGTCGCACATCTTGTCCCAGGGCACCCGCTCGGCCACCACGAAGGGCACCCGGTCCTGCGGCAGAGCAGGATGGGGTCAGGATGCGTCCGTCCCAAGCCCAGCATCCCGGCACCTCCTCGTCCCGCGGCACTCACGATCTCGGAGAAGGCGTTATCCCACAGGACCGTGGCTTTGGCGTTGTTGTCCTGGTTCCCATGGACAATGACCACGATGGGCAGAGACAGGACCTGGGGGCAGAGACAACGCCCCCCCCCCCCATCAGTCCTGAGGCCACCCTGAGCGAGGTGGGGCTGCCCGGGATGGAGCAGGGTGGCCCACAGGGGACATGGCATTGTCCAGCCCTATCCCATGGGAATGGCGCCGGTACCTGGAGGTGGATGGAGAGGTTGCTGGCGGTCAGGGCCACGGAGGTGCTGAACAGGACCGCGCACTTCTCCTCCGTCACCGACTCGGACCCCTTGCGCTCACAGCGCTTGATCTTCTTCAGCAGCTGGGTGGGGGGAGAGCTAAGCATTGCCCCTGGGCCTTGGGGACCCCCATCCCACCCCATCCCATCCCATCCCACCCCATCCCATCCCATCCCATCCCATCCCATCCCAAAGCTCCTATCCCATCCCATCCTATCCCAAAGCTCCCATCTCATCCCATTCAATCCCATCCCATCCCAAAGCTCCCATCTCATCCCATTCAATCCCATCCCATCCCAAAGCTCCCATCTCATCCCATTCAATCCCATCCCATCCCACCCATCCCACCCCATCCCCATCCCAAAGCTCCCACACCATCCCAAAGCTCCCATCTCATCCCATCCCATTCCAAAGCTCCCATCCCACCCAATCTCATCCCATCTCATCCCATCCCATTCCAAAGCTCCCATCCCATCCCATCCCATCCCATCCCTTCCCATCCCATCCCATCCCATCTCATCCTAACTCATCCCATCCCACCCCATCCCATCCCATCCCATCCCACCCCATCTCATCCTATCTCATCCCATCCCATCCCAAAGCTCCCATCCCACCCCATCCCATCCCATCCCACTCCATCCCATTCCATCCCATCCCATCCCACCCCATCCCATCCCATCTCATCCCACCCCATCCCATCCCATCCCATCCCATCCCACCCCATCCCATCCCATCCCATCCCACCCCATCCCATCCCATCCCATCCCACCCCATCCCATCCCATCCCACTCCATCCCATCCCATCCCATCCCAAAGCTCTCATCCCACCCCACCCCATCCCTCGCTGATGGCCCTCACCACGTTCTTGAAGTTGGCGCAGCAGGTCCCGCTGGTGGGGTTGGTCTCCAGGGCCACCACGTTGTGCATGATCTCCCCGGTGCTCTCGCTGGGGCAGAGGAAGGGGTCAGGGGCTATGGTTGACCCCTGCAGCCCCCTCGCCCTGTGCTGAGCCCCCGGCCCCCTCACCTGAGGGTGCTGCTGTAGGCGCTGAGCGCCAGCTCCCGCGCCTGCTTCTCCGTCACCATTTCAGCCCGCACCATGTAGGGCTTGGCCGATGCCTTCAGCAGCCGCGGGCCCAGCAGGAACCGGACGCTGGCTTGGAACTTGGTTTGGGTCTTCAGGACCTGTGGGGGCTGCTTCTCCACCAGGAAGGAGCTGGGGACACAGGTACCGATGGGGCTCAGCACAGCACCCCCCGCTGCAGACCCCCCTGCACCCCAATGCCACCGTTACCTCTTGACCAGGCTGGATAAGACCTCGTTGAGCCGCTCCCGGAGCCTGGGTACCAGCTCAGCCCCCAGCTCCGCGCTCGCTCCCATCACTTGTTGATGCAGCTGGAAGTGAACCTCGACCAGGTTCTCGCACCTGAACCAAGGGGAAAGGGGGAGCCCTCAGCCACGGCCCTGCTCCGGGTCCCCCATCC